TAAACCTTTAATTGGGGTCCGATTTAGTATTTCATTTATACTTTGAAGCATAATGAAATTAAAGACATCGTTGAATATGAAATTCCATTATCTTTTTGATTGTGTACTCAATTTAGGGTTTTCATCGCTTTAACTCTTTGAATCCTTAGGGTTTGAATAAACTTTCATCAATCTTGAAATCGAGGTTACCACATGAAAGCTTATGGAATAAGAATTTCAAAATTTTCTTATCTCTCAAGGGTGATTTTGACGTTTTGGAGTACATGAGCTTTTGCCTTTACTTTCCCAAATTAGTCGTATGAAATATGTAAGCAAACCCTTTCAATTGGGTTTGTTAAATTATTAGATTAAAGAAAATAATGAATAAATAAATAAATTATAAACAAGTACCACATAAGTAGCTTATTCACCAAAATAAAAATAATGAAATCATAAGATTAGTCCTTCATCTTTTCTACTTTTTAATTTAATCATTGCATGATCTAATTAAACCTTTAATCATTAATATTTTCCTTGTTTTCACATGAACACTTAAGTTTTCTCTTTTTACTAAAGTCTTAATAGTATTCATTATCAAATTTTCGTCCTTAAACAATTATTAAAGCAATTTATTCTTCGATATAAACTATAAAATAGAATTAATCATGATTTCAAAAATTCAAATTATTGAAATAACTTATCGGGAAAGAATTTTTTTTCTCATCAGACATAAAAAAATTAGATTAATTTTTGGGGTGTTACAAAGTAGTTGCGACAAGGAGGACCATTGTACACAAGTTGGAGGGGGACCAGACATCGTGCAACTAATGTTGCAATCGTTAATATTGGTGTGGAGTTATGATGGCGATTACTATAGTAGATTGGGGTTAGGATTTTTGAAATAGTTTAAGGTTTATGGGCTGATTTGGTTAATTGGGATGAGTATGTTGAGGGATTGGGCTTTAGTGTTGTTTGGGTTAACTGGTGGTGGGCTTGTAACCCCCAAAACCCAGCCTGGATGTTACGATTGAATCTCAGAGACTACAAAAATCCAGATTAACAGAAAACATGAATTCTCAGTTATAACATACATCAACACGAATCGATATTAGTTCGTAAACAAAATATGAGTTCATAAAACATACCATAATATGAGTTAAAGAACCAAAATATGTAAAAACCTAGTATCCCAAAGTTCCCTAAATATATATATATAGCAAATCATCGGAAAATAAATAATATAGAGTCTGAAAACGTCCATACGATGTTTGAAAAGGAATCAAGCTAATAAATAATCCTCCAAGTACCAGTCGTAGTCCTAAAAGTCAAAGGGGTCTGAAAAAGAAAGAAACTAGAAAGTGAGCTAATAAGCTCACTATGTCTCCTAAGTACAACAACTATTAATTTATTTGTAACAACACATATAATATGTAAACAATAACACCCGAAATTAATCATCAGAACATAACATCAATAGCACACAACTTTACCTTTCACTGTGGATAAATAGAATAGGGACGTTACCCTCCAAAGAGGTACCAAAATCAAAATACAGACAAACAGGATGGGGATGTAGCCCTTCGTAGAGGATCCCAGTCAGAATCATAAATCAGAATATGGATATAACCCTCCAAAGAGGATCCCAAACAGAAACAGGACATGGATTAATCCCATGTATAATCAGGACGGAGATATAATCCCATGCAGAATCAGGACAAGGATATAACCTCATGGAGAATCATGACGGGGATATAATCCCATGCAGAAACATGTATGCATCAATATATAGATAATAAATAATACAATCGCACTCAGAAATTAGACATATCTCAATTTATCATAATCAGAGTGCAATCATGCTTAGAAATAATTTCATACAGTACACAACATAAAATTTGTTAAAGGTATCATATGAGTGGGGATACACCTATAGCAACTAAACACTACTAGCAAAGCCTTACGCTTCCTACGATCAGTAGTACTAGGTCTTGCAGAATGGTGACATAAATATTGAGACGAATATGCGGGACTGAACTGAGCTGAGTAAGGACGGTCGAGATCGACCGAAGAGTGATGCGGAGACTCGAGCTCACAAACATTGATTTTTCAAAAATATCGATGGAGATGGGGTTTTTACAAAAACTGAATATTCAAATTGTCACTAGTTGCAAATGACCACGAAGAATGATAATCTAAGGACACCGAATGAACGGGGTCGATGAGATAAACACAATGGTGTCGGAGGTGTTGCACAACACTACACGGTTATAAACGAATCAAAGACAAATCAAAACAAATTGTAGAGAGAGAATGAGAGAGAGATAATGTAAAAACCAATTTAAAATTTGGAAAATAGAATAGAAAACTGAAATAGGGTTATGGGTTTTAACCTTAAACTTTTGGGTAAACTACTCTATAGATCCTCATACTCTTAAGAACTCTTGCATAAGCAAAAAAGTTTAAGATACATAAATCTAGCCCCAAAAAATTGAGATGTTACAACTCTCCCCTTAAGAAAATTTCAGCCTCAAAATTTTATGTGGCGGAAAAAGATGAGTAAATTGCTCTTTCATAGACTTCGAGTCTTCTAGGTGGCCTCCGTAAGGCTACGGTTACTCCATAATACCTTAACCATAGGTATATGATGGCTTCTCAAAACTCGATCCTCATAAGTAATAATCTAAAGATGTTACTCCTTAAAACTCAGATCAGGTCTCAACTCAAAATCCTTAGTAGAAATAATATGAGATATACCAGATTAACATAGAGACATGGAAAACATCATTAATATGCCCAAACTTAAGCGGTAACTCAAGTTGATAAGCGACTGGTCCTACTCGATGTAGAATCTGCTAAGGTCCATTAAACCTCGAACTCAACTTGCCTTTACGACAAACCTGAGAACTTTCTTCCAATGAGATACTTATAGAAAATCTCGGTCACATACACTAAACTCGATATTCGATCTCTTCAGATCAATATAAGACTTTTGTCTATCAAAAACAACCTCGAGCCTATCTCAAATTAATATAATATTACCATTTGTCTCTTGATTAAGATTGGGTCCTACAATCATCCTCTAGGATAACTCAATCCAACATTACAAAGTACAACACCTACGACCATACAAGGCCTCGTATGGTCAATCTGAATAATGATATGGTAACTGTTATTGTAAGGAAACTTAGCCAATGGCAAGTGATCATCACAATTGCCCCGGAAATCAATAATGCATCCTCTCAGCATATCCTTTATAATCTAAATAACCCACTCAGATTGACCATCAGACTACAAGTGATAAGTCGTACTAAAATTAAATCAGGTACACAAAGGCACATGAAGAGCCTTTTAGAATTGTGACGTAAACCTCATATCTTGATAAACAATAATGTATAAGAGAACCCCATGAAGGCGAATGTAGTGAGTACTATAAAATTATACGCAAATAATGTGCAAGTATACACAATCGCTCAAGTAATAAAGTGATGAGTGAGTATCGTCTCCACAGGGATTGTGTGAAATTAAAAAAGTCCAACCAAAGCAAAGCACTACTCTATCTATGTATAGTTAGTGTACAAATGTCACAACAATGGAAATATATATGTTGGTGGATATGGATGAATGGTCTGATGGTGTAGCAAATAGAAATGCAGTGGGAAGAACAGATGTTTAATGTTGAAAATGATGAAATGTCAATGCAATGAAAAATGGTAAAAACAGTAAATAAACAGAAAATAAAAGATAAGTAGATAATCCTCACACGACGACAAGCTTACACTGGAATGAATGGTAGGGATTGATTTAAGGATACTAAACTTATCTCTCAGGAAGATTTAAGCTATCTAAACTTTACTTTCTCAACAGGGTTTGCTGAAAGTGTTCCCGCTATCTCTAGTCAAAGGAACCTAACAGAATAGAATGCCATGGCTTCTGCTTTCACTCTACAATGTGGCAGTCTACACTATTGATAAAAACACCCTTTTTAGTCGTTGAAATCCTATCCTAGTCTCTCTCGAGTACTAAGGGATTAGGATACAGTATTCCTAGGCTGGTTTAAAGCCTTTTGAAAACACTATAGCCCATTGCTTATGAGGATCTTGTCTTGTGTTTCTCTCGAATACTACAAGTATTTAGCTTAGGTTTCTCTCGAACACCTAACCTTCATCTAAAAAATGGACACTCTCATGCCTCTTACAAGCCTAGATGATGAAGTATTCATAAGCAAAGCAAGCAAATACCCAAAATAAACATAAATCCACCATTAAAATAAAGTTTAAACAACCATTAAAACAACCACCACCAAATAAGTTAGTTTATGGTGGGGTTCGAAATATCCACAGAACAAGCCATGAAAATATTCGTTCTAACAACCCAAAAATAAATAGAAAAATAGAAGCAAAGGGAAGTGAGAAGAAGGCTTTGACGCGCGCCATCGGAGGTCTCATCGGCCACCACAAACCGCCTTAGCTCGCTAACTCCTCTCGGACGCCTAGCTTGCCACTCCTTGGAGGTTTATCAATGGAGGAACACCCAAGAAAAAAGAAAGGAAAAAGAAAATAGAAATGGAATTTCTCTCTGCTCTGACCGTATGGTAATGCGTCTCCCTCTCTCCCTTGTGAGGTGTCATATATAATAAAAATATGGGTAAAGTATAGTAATGGTCACTAAACTTTTCTAAAGATTTCATTTAGGTCCCCTAACTTTTAAAACTTATAATACAGTCCCCCAACATTTAGTCTGTTTACAATATAGTCCCTTAATATTTAGTCCGTTTGCAATATAGTCCCCAATATAACTGTTGGGGACCATATTGCAAACAAATAAATATTGGAGGACTGTATTGCAAGTTTTAAAGTTGGGGGACCTAAATAAAAGATTTAGAAAAGTTTAGTGACCATTACTATAGTTTACCCTTATAATAATTGCAAAATCAGAATGACGTTGAAGCTTACCTCAAGAAGATGAATGATACCGGGGTTTACGTCAGCAAGCATTTCTCTGGAGAATTCCTCATCGGTCTTCTATGCATTCGAATTATCTACTCCATTTCATTAATTAAAACATCAAATTAGCAGTTTATATATATATATATATACCTTGAATGACTATAGGCACAGGGAATTTGAGTGGATGTTCGCCATCAATTCGAAAAATTTGTTTAAGCAACTCCAAGGGAATGATGTCGATAATATTATTCAGCAAATTGCTAAAAGGAATTTGAATTCCTCCGATGTAAAGATCAAGAACATCCTCAAAGGACTTGAATTCATTATGATTTCCATGAATAAGATGATTTAGTTCGTGCAGTATGAATGGAACTCCAGATTTTACGAAATAATTTACAGTATCCGAAAACTTCAAACGTTCAAATCGTTCATCTCTCGGAACATAAATGCTAAAGATCTTGTGAAGTGGTAACCTACTCTCAGTGTTTGGATATGTAATCCAAAGAACAAAAAACACCTTGTTAGTCACCAATTTTGTGAACTGCTATCATAAATGTAATTTCTGACCTGATTTTGTCGGCGGTCTACCAGTTCTTCCTCTAAGAGGATAAGGGTACTGAGTAGATCCGCCAAGAACAGGTAGGATGAATTCGGGACCCAAATCAGGATTCCCCAAATCATTATAATAAGCATAACCATAGATACGGTCCCATTCTTGGAGCTCTCCTTCGCCATTCCCTCTCAACGAGTTGAGCTCTTCTTCTCTGTATTGAAGCAGTGCTTCTGGCATCTCATGCAGAAGGTATATCTTAGAGGAAAAATATCAAACACTTGTTAGTCATTATCAAAACACAAACACAAACTACATCACCAAACAAAAAATTAAGGATTGAATCCGAGTAAATATATTCCTGTACGACCATTAATGTTGAAGTGTATATATACCTCGTTAGTGAAGAACAGACGGGGTTTTTCATATTTATGATCCGGATAAAGTCAAGAGAAAATCTATTCTCTGTTCTGAATTCTGTTTTGATTTCTGATATCTCCGTTTAATGACGGAAAAATGTTTTAATTGGGGGTTATTATTGAAGGAAGTATTTTTGCAGGTTCCTCAGCTTTGTGTTCAGGGCCTTACAAGTTGTGTGGGTTGGGTGTATGGTTCTAGGGAACTTACACATTCTGTTGTGATGGGATGGGGTATATATATATATGTTTTAAAATATCTGTATCTTTTTACTGGTTTTACGGGAACACACTAGATAACCTAGTCTGATCTCCTGAACTCAGTTATTCGAAATATTTATCTGAACTGCAAGCTCATTGTCCGTTATCATCTGAAATATGAGTAGGATCTCCGATCAGCATAATAATCTGTAGATATTCGGAAACAATAAGAAAACATATGTTTATCTGTATCTACACGTTTTTCAGCATCATTTGGTAGTTCTGTATTACTGAGCTTTCCGAAGCTCACTTTATTACTCACCATTGCAGGTTAAAAGAATTGTACCAGTGCAGCTATCAATATTAATATGGGAGTTCTTTCGGCGTTCCTTACAAAGTATGGTATATGTAAGTAGGGGGCATGTAAATGTATTTTGTTTTTATATACGAGTCTGAAAATCTATTTTAATTCTTCGTACTGATAAATCATTTTATAATTTATATGTTTTAAATAAAAGTTTTAAATTTTTCGCTATTTTTATAGTGGGTCGCTCCGATGGCCCTAGTGTGACACTCCAGATCGGATCAGGTTATCCGTATCGGTCTGAGAGTGTTACATTAAGTGGTATCAGAGCTATGGTTGAGTCAAATTTTTTCAAGATAGACCGACCGGTCGAATTTCAAAAAGATGTCTGATCAGTACATGCCCTAGACTACAGTCGTACTCTCTGAGCCGGAACTCCAAGGTTTAGTCCCTATCTATAACGAGCAAACATAAGCTTTATCCATTAAGACTCTACATTTGTATAAGGGAATACCCGTAATATCTGTCTAAACGCTGTAACGTACTTCACGAGCCATGTGAGAGTTATTCATCTGAGAAATTCTAACTCGACTCCGTAAATGAAAGTTAGATATGTTACAACTCCATGAGTCTATTTTCATAACCAATGCTGAATTGATTCTACAAGGATATTTTCGTTCTGATTCTTTTATTGGAATGAGGAAAAGTTCTGATAAGAATGTATGCTCAACTAGTTAAGGATTAGTGCAGGATCCATATTTCTATAAAAGCTACGTGAAGATATGGAACAATTGATGGAATTTTCATTTCTGCAGTTCTGTTACATTAATGAATTTTGAGGGCGAAAATTTTTATGTAGGGGAGAATTATAACACCCCAATTTAGGGGCTAAATTTTAGAAATTATAAAGTATTGGATTTAATTGGTATTTTGGAAGAAAATTGAGGATTAAATTGTAAAATCACAAAGTTGGCATACCATTTTAAGAAGTGCAGGAAGTTCAGTGGCTAAACTCATAGTTTACCCATTTTTCTTTTGGAATGAATTATAACCTTCCTCTTGTATGTTTTTTCTATAGATTTTATCATTTTCCTTTTCTCTAACAACCCTCATTCCAACTCCAATTTACTCGCCGTCTGACCTCCGATCGACGAACCGAAACCACCATCATGTTCATTATCGACCGAGGAACAAAACCCCTCAAACCTTTCGTCGTGAATCATCGCTGTTCATCGTTAATTTCAGTCGGAAGTATCGTCGGTAATAACTCAATTTTAATTGGTTTTTCGTCGATTCACGACGAACCAATGATATGTTTACGACACCTCTCACACCATCGTGTTCCTTGCATCATTCCGAGTCCACCGGTGTTCTCCGTTTCTCCGTCATCGCCGACGAGTTGAGGGGTGAGCCCGTCAAAGTTTCCGATGTTTCAGAATCGAGCTCTCCGCCGTTCAAAATTGTGAACCGAGCTTTGTAAGTGCCTCAAAATCGCTTAAAATATTTTTTAGGAATTTTTCCGACACCGTGTTACTGTTCACGCGCCGCACGCGCCACCCCCGAGAGCGGGCATCATCTAGGTGTTAATTTTGAAATTAATTTCTGTTTGGGTGCTATTTGTGTAAAATTCGGGTGTTAGTTTCGTAAATATTTACAGAAGGTGGCTAATTTTGTAATTAATTTTGGTTAGGATGATATTTGTGTAAAATGGTCAAATGTTGACCATTGACTAACGTTGACCAGCGTTGACCACTGTTGACTAGAACTTTGACCGGCGTTGACCGGGCATTAAACGACCTTTGACTTCGATCGGGTATACTTATCCTGATGTTTTTCTACATTCTGAATCCGATTCCGCAGTTCGTTTTTCAAAATTCAGACCCAAAGCCCTCAAAATTGCCAGTCAAACCCGTTGACTTTGATTTTGACCGAAAAGTCATATTTTAGGTTTTTCGACGTCCTGAATCCGAATCCGAAGTCCATTTTTCCAAATTCGAATTCGGTAAGTTAGTTTTCATTGATTAATCACCCGATTCGATCCGTTTTTCATAATTAACTTTCATTTTTTATGTAATTTCTGTTGATATGGATCTGAGGAATTATTGGAAGATGATTTCAAGATCGAGGGCATTTGAATGGAATTTAATGGTCGATCAATATTGCACAAAAATCGAGGTAATACTTTACTATCTCTTTATGCTTTATGGAACATGTGAATATTGGTAAATGCAATAATGGAAATGTTTGGTCTAATATACTTAATAAATGAAGTTCTACACTTGATTCGAATATAGTAAAAACTCAGTAACTGAATATGGCTCAGATGACTATTATAAGAATTGAAGGACAATTGGAATTAAATTTCAAGTTCTGGAATTAAGTGATAAAGAAATCAACCATGGATATATAGATTATAATTTATCTCATTAAAGGTACTTGAAGGATAAATTATGAGAATATTTTAATTAGGTAAAATTACGAAAATACCCTTATATTGTAGGATGACAAGAATTGTCCTTGGAAGTATAACTTTGAAAAGACATATTGATCCGATATAATTACAGATGTGCATAATAAATGATAGTTTTGTTTAGAAAATTTGGATAACTGGTTTTTAACGCCAAAAAGGGTTTGCGCAAGATGCTAGAAGTTTGTTAAGGAATAATTTCAAGATCAGAGAATGTTCGGGAAAGCAATTAATCATATGATCTCTATATTATATTATTTTTGTTAAGAGTTAACACTGAAATTATCTGGTTAAGAAATTACAAATATGCCCTTGAGAGGTAAAATAGTCCGAGTTGACTCTGAATGAGAAAGTACTTTGAGGATTTGTGCTTAACTCGATTAAGTATGAATTTGATTGTTAAGATCCTGACTTAGTGCAGAAAAATTCTTGATATTCCGTTGGAAAAAATATGAGAAGGCATTTGACCCGAAAATATCCGAGTTACGAGTAAATACCTGAAGAATAATTTATCGGGGTACTCTTTTATCAGAATTATTCGAATGGACTGAAATAGATGATAAATTGGTATTAAATAATAAGACAGGATGGAAGGAAATGATTGAAATACATTGGATCTGTAGAATGACCAGAATACCCCTGTAATGGAAATGAACCAAGAATATCACCAAACTCAGGAATGAATGGATATCTTCGAGCTCTAAAATGAATGGAACAAAACTGAAAACCAAAATTACCAAAATACCCTTATGGCCTATACTAAGTAAATGTCTTGGATTAATTAAGGAATCCAAATAAGCATAGGTGTTAGACTACCTTTAGAAGTTATGGAACACAGCTTAAGTGAGTTGATCAATCTTAAGGATATGTCAGTACCTGAATGGCATAGATATTACTGGAATGTGTGTTCGTCTTCTCAAGTTTGGCTCGATGATAAATTTTGGAAGTATTCAGCTCAGCTCAACTCAAGATCGTATTCAGTACTAAGAATTGGACGTTTGTTCGACAAATCAACCACGAAGACCAAATTGAATGGAACGAAAGTACAACATGTATCTGAAATTTAGGAACGTTTGAATTACTCTGGAAAATCCTGAAGTAACTGGAATGGACTTGAATGCTAAATAAATTAAGTAACCTCAAGGACTGAGGATTAAATAAGTGTTTTGGATGAATCTGGAAATGTTAATGAACGTACATGATGTAATGTTCTTATGGATCATGAATTACAAATCAAGTACATCAGCATTTCATGATATAGTGAAAGCGTGAACATTAAATAAAGACATTGGAAGTTTTATTCAGCGATAATTTCGAAGATGATATATGGACTAGAATTGTGGTATTAAAGTGTAAATACCCTGTAAGGACAATAAATTGACCAGTCGACAAGCATTAATTCTGGTAGATACTCATATGAAGTTGTCTGATAATGAAATCAATCGACATAGACTGTAAATATCCTAAACCTTCATTTTTTATTTATCAGCTCAAGTCATATTCTGAATAACTGATGAATTCGTTAGTTATTGAACTCATCCAATAATGATTTAAATTCCAACATTCTATCGAAATACTGAAGATATGTGTTTCTCTGCTTGTTAAGATTATCCAATACCTCTGAATAATATCTGTAAACTCTGGTGTGTTCCCTAATCATATAAATATTTTATCTGATTTCCGACTTGAATTCTGTTTTGATACATGACCTGAATTATGTTCTGATATATGTTTTGAATTCTGTTTTGATTTCTGATATCTCCGTTTAATGGCGAAAAATGTTTTAATTGGGGGTATTATTGAAGGAAGTATTTTCACAGGTTCCTCGGCTTTGTGCTCAGGGCCTTACAAG